ACACACACACACACACACACACACAAACACACACACACACATACATACATACACACGCACCCAAACACACCACGCACACGTCCACTAATATATTCAGACACCTTGTTTATCAAATAGTATATATTATAATCAGGCTTATGTTTAGGTCTCAGATATATGGCAACACATGCATGCTACATGCTTACTTGTCCTCAAAGTAAATTTGGTGTTGGGGAAAAATTCAAAATTTTCTTTAAAATCACTCTTCTAAGATTTCAATGGACCAGAGTTTTAATTTAAAAATCTGTTCTTGTGCAGACAAAGACGAATGTCAAGAAAATCCATGCCAGCAAAATGCAAACTGTCTCAACAATGAGGGATCTTTCAGTTGTTTGTGTCAGCCTGGATTTTTCCCTGATGGACCGAATTGTACAGGTAGGTAATAATAGAACAGGACTTACTCCATCTTTGTATTCTACTTTACTTTTCCTTCAGCTATATTGGCTATGTATTGATATGGGTTTTTTTAACCTTTGCTTTGACTTAGTCATGGCTGAGGAAAAAAGAAAAATGCATATCATGTCTTGTAGTCTAACTTTTGAAATGTGTGACAGACCTACTTAATGGCATTTGACTTGCAAAATTTCTTAGCTAAAGGATCTCGATTGTATATGCCATGTGCTTGAAGCCTGTAGTTGTTGAAAAAAAGACTGTGTTTTCAGTTCCTTTTATTCATCTGCTTAATATGGTTCAGTTTTAATTTGTCTTTGATAACTTGAACATTTTTTTCTCAGATATCGACGAATGTCTTCAGTCTCCTTGTGGACCTAATTCAGTGTGTATAAATGCTCCAGGATCTCATATCTGTGGGTGTGAAAGTGGATATGTGTTCAATGCACTTGATACCTGTGTAGGTGGGTACAAACTCTGTTCATTAATTTCTGACTCAAAGGCAGATGAGAACTAATGATTTCAGATAACAAACTTGAGTGTGAATATTCAATATGGCATAATCAGTAATCAAGTGTAGATTACATTTAGGTTCACCAAAAGATATGTATTAATTTCTTTTCATTGAAGAACTTTGATGAGACTGCATAAAATCTTCTTTTTTTTCCTTGAATTTTCTTTCTGACAAGGGGTATGGGACTTATCATAAATGATGTGAAAATACACATGTCTGTTTGCAACATTTACATGACTTATCATAAATGACGTTAAAATGTGCACGTTTATTTGTGTATTTTTACAATTCACATTTCTTTGTAATGGTCGGTTGTTTTCTGGGGACTCATTTTTTTTTCCCAAACTAAAATTGAGGATGATATGGAAAACTTCTTTTTTCAGTCATGAAATGGTTGGCGGGTCGGCTCTAAAATACGCAGAATCTATCCAAATCAACCTAGGTACTTGCCTTGTTGCCATCATGACTCTGCTGCCGTACATCTTGATTTCTCAGTGTAAGACTCCATCATATGTTACTTTTTAAAATGGAGTATAGCTGAGTCTTACTTACACTAAGCAGTTGATCTGTTCTTTCAAAATCTCTGCCAAGACAATTTTACACTATGACTTTTTCCTTCAGTGTCTGTTGCAGATATCTTATACCTACCATTGGTTTAAAAATAAGTTTATGTCCTTTGCATTGCCATTAGATTGAAAGGCACATGGGAAAGATGTTCTTTTCCTTTGTACAAAATAAGATGGAGAATCAAGCGTTCATCAGTTTTTGGGAGCATTTAGAAATAAGTGTAATCTTAATGCCTTTATATTTGCCTAGCTTTTGATGAAAAAATACCTATCTTGAACAGAAAGTGAGATATGTTTCATTGAAGGAGGTAGGGGTCACTTGGTGTTGGTGGTAAAAAATAATATGAAAATGGCCGCCAAAGGTAGGTGACAATCAAAGCTGTAGTGTCCTTTGAAACTGAAAATTTATACTTTTAATCTTCTTTTTTCATTAAAATCCATACAGGAATGTGTTTTCAATTATACCTAACAGGTGTTTAGCCCAACACAGCAAATAGGATAAAATTGCCAAGTGGACAGAAAAATGTTAGTTTCTTTGATTTCATAATTTTGACACAAGTGCCTAATTTCACCATGATGCACCACAAATGATCAATTGCAACAAATTTGTAATTAACAGAATAATTTAACTATCTCAGCTTTTTGTGTGGAAGTTCATATTTTGTCATTTGCTATGACTGAGTCACGACTCATGGCACTAACAAAAATACCCTAAGAATTCTTAGAATTTAACCTTTCAGATTAACTTCCATTTGAAAAAGGTGCTAAATTGGTTTCGGGACTTGGTACCGAAGTTAAAAGCTTATCTTGAAATAGATTTGTGGTCTGAATTTACCTGGACTGCTGACACTTCTTAAAGAAGTGAGTCTATTTATATCAACCTCAAATAATCTCTTTTTCATTCTATTATACATTATCTTTACTGCTACTGATAGTGCTTTGTGCCCAGTTCAGTTATCATGGAAGTTCTACCTCTGATTCGTTTTTATTGTTGTTAACAGACTTTGACGAATGTGTACAAGACCCTTGCAAAGAAAATGAGGTGTGTACCAACCTTCCAGGCAGTTACACATGTCCTTGTGCAACTGGGTTTGCCCTCAATGGATCATTGTGTTCAGGTAAAACCTTATATCAAGAAAGTTGCTCCTCCTTCTTCATGATTTTATGTTTACTGTTGATAAAAAGTTAAATCTGTGGGGACTTGTGTGAAATGTTTCATTATTGTAGTAAGACTAAACCTCAAGACGGAGGTTCTAAGTGTGTCTTTGTATAAACCTGTGTGAGAGTGAGAAAGAGAGAAAGTGAGAGACAGAGAGAGAGAAGAGAGTCAGAGAGAGAGAGATGGAGAAAGAGGAAAAGAAAGAGAGAGTGTGTGTGTGTTTGTATATTGATGAGTACGTGTGCGTATATGTTTACCTTAACTCATCAAATTTCTCTTTGTGAAAATCAATCTTATCCTCTCATATCTTTTCATATCTTCTCTAATCTTATCTTATCTTATCTTATCTTATCTACCTCATGTAAATCAGAACTAAATTTGAAATACATTCCCAGTCTCTGTCTGATATGCTGATAAGCTTATCGTTGGTGCTCTGGTGGAACCTCTCTAAAAATCAAAATTTGGTGAAAATAGTTCTTTTGCACCAAAAGCTTCCTGATACCTTGTTACACAAGGTGTAAATATTAAATCATTCTAGATTTAAACTACAAATGCTCGATATATCTATAACCTTTTATACAGACTATGTCCTGATATGAAATATTCCGTGGTGTCATAGGCTATGCATTTGCAGTTTTCACTGATATATTGTTGTATGAGGGCTGTCCCTCGGAAAACCGGAATTCGGCTGTAATTTGAAAATTAATCAATATTTTCACATTCTGTAAATGCACACTTGTAAAATAATCATTTAGGAATTTCCCAATACAGCACCATAAGCATCGCACAAACCAAACAAACACAGCAGTTCTCCAAAGATGGCTACCCCCTTGGAAAATTGGTCAAGGGTAGAAGTGAAGTCTGTCATTCAGTTTCTTACTGCAAAAGGTCTCAAAACTATAGAAATACACTCTGAAATAAAGTCAGTTTACGGGGAGAAAGTAATGGCAAAGTCACAGGTATATGAGTGGTGTAGTAAGTTCAAAGCCGGGCATAAGGATGTCAATGACAAAGTTCACCCAGGACCTTGTTTTTCTGCCTAGACTGAGGACAACAAGAGTGGCGTTAATGAACTCATTTAAACAGACAGGCGCCTAATAATTCGCAAAATTTTCGAGCTGTTAAACATATCAAAGTTGACTGTCAATAAGGCAGTGCTTGACGGGCTGCAATATAATCGAAAAGTCTGCTCGATGGGTCCCAAAAGAGCTGACAGCTGACCTCAAGACGCAAAGTGTTGAGGTGTCTCAGACTTGGTTGAATCGTTGTCGCCAAGCTGTCACGGGAGTCATGAACACATCTGGAGACCTCCAACAATATGGTGAAGCATTCCTGAGAAGCATTATCACAGGTGATGAGACTTGGATACACCACATGACCCCTGAGATCAAGAGGGATTCAATGGTCTGGAAGCACACATCTTCATCTCCCCGAAAAAGCGATTGGAAAAATGCGTCCAGCGGGATGGTGATTACATTGAGAAATAAAGCACATGTTGGGGTATGATGTGTTACATATTTATTATACAAAGATTGTTGCTTTTATGGACCTTTTCCGGTTTTCCGTGGGACAGCCCTTGTATGTAACAAGAAAAAAGAGTGACATTTTGTTATTTGATTACGTATGTCGTACCTATGATCTAGTAACATAGCAATATAATCTTGGTTGATTCTCTCTGAGCAGACGTAGATGAATGTGCAACGAAACCATGCCGTGACAATGAAGTGTGTAACAATACTGTAGGCTCCTACACCTGTTCTTGTGCATCAGGATTTCAGTTGGTTGAATCAGACTGCACAGGTAAAACAATAACTTTGATTTTTAGCTGTGTTCTTTTCCATTTTTCTATATCTTCTGTTCTCACACAAACCTGCCTTTCTATTACTTTTTCTTTTTTAAACCCTAGTTTTGCCATGCTAATGTTGAATTCATGAGCATAATATCATTGTTTTGATATTCTTTTTGCTGCTTGTTGCCCCAGTTTTGAGAAGGACTCTTATGCAGATGTATTGAAGAAATTCATTTTCTTTTTAAGACTGGATTGCATACTTGAAATGTCTGCAGGAAATTAGCCGCAATAAGCAATAGTCTTGGTGAAAAAACTAAAACTTTGTTCTTGGCAGAAAAGAAGGAAATGTGTCACGACACGTTGGAATCAGGCGCTCGTAAATTTTTTGGCATAATGAGTTGTTGGTATCAACTTAAAGCTTTTTCATTTTCCTTGCTTTCTTAAAAAAAAATACCCATCTATCTTGAATTCAAGTCGAGATATTCGTAATTGAAGGAGGTGGGGATCACCTGATTTCAGTGGTAAAATTAATTACAAAATGGCCACCAGAATTTGATTATTTCCATAGCTGGAGAGTCTGTGGAAACTGAAAATTTATATTTTGTGTGTCTTTATTCAACATTTTTCAGTAAAGTCCACACATAAATGTGTTCAGTAATGGACATTAAAGGTGCTGAGCCTAAAAAACAAAAAAAATTGAAGAAAATGCTGATTTCTTCAATTTCATTATTTTGACTAGCTCTTGATTTCACCATGGCGCCTCACAGTTGTCTCAAATTTTTACATGCTTGAAGCTTTTCTTTATGGCAGAATACAGGTCTCTGAAACAAATAATAGATCATTCATTTGTTTGTGTAGTGTTCACATTTGTTATTCACTACTCATAGTCCATGTTTTAGAATGTTGACTACTCTGATGCTAATGAGGTCACTGACAGATCTGAATGTAGAGATTGACCGCTGTTGAGGGGTTGTGCAAACGTCTAAGTGGGTCAACTTATTCAATGGGTAATGACTCTGAGAAAAACTTTCACAGGAAAAGAAGACTAGAATTCCCACAGGGAGCTATTTTTATACGTGACCTCGTTTAGCAAAGTTTTTGTAATTTTATTTTGCTGAAAATTGAAGAGTGGTTTTCCAAAACTCTGTTAGTCAGTTTTGACAAACGCATGATTTCACCAAAATGCTACACACCTACATAATACAAATGTATGTGTGTAAAGCGTCATGATGAAATTAGGCGCTTGTCAAAACTGACTTTCAGAGTTTTGGAAAACCTCTCTTCAATTCTCTTTTTGTAAGTGTCTTGAATCAGGGTTTAAAAAATGTCAATATACCACAGACATGTTTTCTACATGCTGAAACACTCAGGTAGATCAATATGCTCAAAGTTGTCCTTACTAAGATAGTGTCAGAAGATTAAGACAACTTTTCAGTTGGGAAAAATAATGAAGTTTACAGTGGATTTTACTTGATTTTGGCAAGTTTGATACTTTTAAAGACATTGACTTGCATGTGAAGTGAAATGTTTTTAATCCCATCAGTGTTTGTCCATTTATCAAAGGTTTTTGGTCTGAGCAAGGCATGTGCTCTTGAATCTTATCTTATAGCAATTAGCAAGAACGAATAAAAGCAATGTCAGAAAAATGCAGAAAGTTACATTTACTACTAGAGAGACAAACAGATTATGCCTTTTTCTGGGAGGGAACGAATCCTAATGCCTGATGCTTTTTTTTAAACTTTATGAAAGGAACGACGTAAGCCCTTTGTAACATTATACTTAGTACTGATTAGGAGGACCTGTAAAGAATTTAATTTGTTGACTTCTATATTTTCTGTGTTGCTTTTTGTTGATTTTTAAAAATCAGATATCTTATCTTATCTTAACTTATCTTAACTTATCTATCTCATTTCGTTTTCATTAGACATAGATGAATGTGACACAAATCCATGTAAGGAGAATGAACAGTGTAAGAACAACGTGGGTTCCTTCACCTGCCTTTGTGTTCCTGGGTTCCTTCTTAATGGAGACATATGCTCAGGTAAAAGACTACTCATTATTATTTGTTTGTTATTGTCTTTTGTGCATATTGCAACAACTATGATTTTGGCAGATATAAATTACAAATCCCCCCTCTCCCCCCCCCCCCCCCCACACGCCTAGCTGCACATCACGAATATGACAGCACATTCTACAATTTCATGTTCTTGTAAGACATAGCTGCAACCCCACTATGACCCATATGGCAGGCTCGGTTCGTCCATAGAGCACGGTCGTGCAGTGGCGCCAAAAAATTTGTATTCTTCTTTTATGTAAAGCACCCACAATAATAAATTAAAAGACGCCAGAAACAAACAAGTGAAATATTATATCAAAAAAAGGTCCTTGCTGGCGCCGTAACTGTCATTTCTGTGTCTATAGCGCCGTAAAACAAAGCGCATGTGCCTTAACTAAATGTAATAGGAGATTCAACAGTGATAACCTGACCTATAAATTGCTCTTTGGGTCAACCCAAGAGACGACGACACTCGTAGCGAGTTTGACGGTACATTAATATTAATAAGTCGGCACATCTCAAATGTGCTCCTGTCGAAAAGTGCCGAAACATAGCCCACAGTAGGCAGTCTAAAAATAAATGCCATAGACTGTACACTATTCTATACCAAAATTATGTGAGCCCCGGAGCAATCCAGCAGAGTTCTCAAGTGAATTCTGATTGGTTCATTGTCTTGCCACTAGGCTATTTTAAGTGACTCTGTGACCGTGAACCTGAGAGAGGTGAACATGACATACTTAAGTCACCATCCTATGAGTTGTGTATTTGAATGGTTTTGTTGTGGAGCAGTGAAAGTTATTACCGGGTACTTGAGTGTTCAGTTCTACTGCAGGATGAATGAAATTGATGTTTAGCTAACAAGCAGATTTAGTTCTAGAAATCAAAGCAACAAGTAAAAGGAATGAAAATAAAAGCACAAGGTCCTCCCTCGCCAACCCAAAGATCCTAAAATTATACACCATCCCATTTACTATGCCCTTGGCTATCTTCAGCTCGTGAAAGCTTTATTAATTGTGCACACCCACTAGCCCCATGAGCCGCCCTTGCCGTACGGTTACCCCAGATGTGTGTGCACTAGGTCAAGCAGATTGAGAGGTGGTGGGGGGGGGGGGGGGAGAACCTATATTTCAATTTACCGTAGCATTTACTGAGGGAAACCCTTTTGAGTGCTGTGAATTCATCCCAACTTCCCACACTGAGAACATATATATTCATGGAGACATTTCTGTGCCTGCATTTTAGCACACTTTGTTAGGATCACAGGATTCATATTGTGTTTAATAATTTGAGTTGGAAATGAATCTTCTGTATGTGTAATTTGTGTGTTTACTTGTTTTTACATCATTGTGTATGTAAGTATATATCATAAACTTACATTTCTTCCGTTATTTAGATTTATAGAAAAATTATGTAACTGTTGTGTTGCCCAAATTAATTAATGTCTCTGTGTCCTTAGCACACTGCCCTAAGAATGAAAGGATTCTAACTCTTAAGCTGCTAAGTTTTGAGAAATTGGGGCTCGAGGATTTACACTCTTTCAGCTAAATATATTTTAAAGCGTCAAACTGAAACAAAGAACATAAAGTCAGATTGACTCAAGTCTTAATGGTACAGTGAGCAGTGCACGTGTGTCAGTAACGTGCAGTGTGTAACTCAGTTCTCATTAAATGTGGAGTTTGAGCCTTGTCTTTCTAAGGATGCTCGGAATATGGTTGTTGAAAGAAATGGCATGTGAGCAAAAGGACCAATTTGACCTGACAGTTCAATGTATTAACTTAACAAAGAGAAAATTGCAGAAACTTGTTCTGGTAGCCTATAATATGGTTTCCTTATGACTAGTACAGGTTGCTTTCCAAGTAACGAATTTATTATTTCACAATACAGTGGAGTCCGCTTGTAACGAGTCCTGAAATAACGAGAAGTCTGTTAAAAAGATACTATTCTAAAACCCCATTTTTTTCCCTTCTTTATCTTTGTAAATAAAATGCTGCTATATCGTAATCAGACAAACACGTGAGTCAGTTATAGCGGAATAGTGCTGCTGCTGTGCACTGCACATTTGACATTTATACCATGTAAAACCTTGCCAGTTGAGAAACTTGTTGGTGATCTAGCGAAACAAAGAATGGGAGAGCCTACATGTGCCAACAATGAAGTCCAGAGCGAATGAGTGGGGAGGGTGTATCATGAGCAGACAAGCAGTTATGAAGCAGAATGCATTGCGTGATAGGCCAGCCTAGTCTAGATTATCCAGATCTACCATGCCTCTCACTTCTCCGATGTGGGGATAGAGAGGCCATAGTGCTGTGATGGATGAAACGAATGTATGACGTTCGCAAAAAAATGGAACGCACGACAGAGTGTGATGGGGTGGGGGACAACACAGCGGGCGAGTTAGCCAGGAGAACTTTCTTTCTTATCGCCAACACCGAACTGTCAACATTGCTAGTGCTAGAGAAAGAAACCTGATTCGATTTTTGATCAAGAGAGATCAAGATGTCATGTTGGGCAAAATCATCATCAGGGACGATAACAAAAAGAAATAAACAGAACACAAAAATCATAGATAAGGTCTACTTTATTATTTCATTAAAATTTATTACTGAATCCTTTATAACAAGAATCGTGCTATAACGGACATTTTGTACCAGTCCCCTCTCTCTCGTTATAACAGAATTCCACTGTATATATTAGAACAGTGAGCCATCTTGTCAGATCAATTTATGCCCATTATTGTCAATTTCCACCTAGATGTTGATGAATGTGACCAAGACCCATGCGATCCCAAAGCTATTTGTACAAACACCCAAGGCTCATACACCTGTAACTGTACTGTCGGCTATGAGGGAGACGGAATCGCATGTGCGGGTGAGTATGTCGTGTGCCTGCAAATGGCCTACAAAGGGGCTGAAGGAAATGAATTGTGTATTGTATCCACAAAGTAGCAATGAACAAATTGAGCCTTTATTTTTCTCCTTTTATTCCTACTTGTATTTATTGGGTTATTCTCACCATAAAAAATATCTGTATCACACCTGCTAAATAGTAAGACGCACCCTTACACCTTCCTTGATACCAAACGTATTGAAGATGTTTCTCCTGTAGAGCATATCAAAGAAGTCAAGATCTGAAGGGTCAGAAGTAGTACTTGGGCAATCTTCTACTTCCTCTATATCTACCACCCTGACATTCCTCTTTTAGATTGTGTTTTAAGAAGTAAAAGGCCATACTATCCAAGGGTTTAATGGGCCAGTATAACTTCTTTTCTGTGTAATTGTTTTTGGTTTATAAAATGCTTGTGTCCTATTTTGTAGCAAGTTTTTTGAGTTAATGGTACCTTTAAAATCTATACCTTACACTTTGAGGTATTTCTGGCATGGAATAATTATTTGAACAAAAAGAAGAGAAAAGGGGGAGGCTGGTGCATACACTTGAATGTGGTGGCACTGGTGCTCTTCTGTGTTACTGCTTTAAGTTTTGCTTCAACAAAATTATAACACTATTTCATTTCTTGGGTAAGGGAAAGTTTTTTTTTGCTTGAAAAGATTTTAAGGTAAACAGTTTTTCAACATAATAACATAATGCTATTGTAGATGCTTGGGAGGGGAGGGGGTTGAGAGAGAAGGAATGATAATGAGAACTAGAGAGGGAGATAAAATGGGTGGTTGACATGATGTAGGTGAAAGGACAAGATAACATTATCTAGAAAAGCAACATTTGTGTCGGGACAGGAAAAATTGCTTGAATGCTTGGCTGAGGGTGACAAAAAGATATCAGGTCTTTCTAGCTCTGTTTAACTGCAAAATAACTTTCATATCAATGTCCTTACTATTTAATGGTATGGTACTAGAGTTGACCAACATTTGTTTTTCTGAACAGACATCAATGAATGTGATATGAATCTGTGCCAGACAAATGCAGAGTGTAACAACAATGAAGGCTCTTACACCTGTCCTTGCAAAACAGGCTTTGAGCTCAATGGAACTGATTGCACAGGTAAAACATTTTCTTCAGAAATGTTCTTTATTTCAAAAACATCTTTCAAATCAGATTAGTACTGGGTGATCATATTGACTTTTGAAATCTTCTACCTGTTTTGTGGACCTCAAAATGGAAAGTACACTTTTTAAAGTGTCTTCTTATATTGGTCTTTATTTTTTAAACATTTTCTGAAGGCTTGAACTTTGTTAATGGACTTGGCATAGTCCAGCTGCTCTGGGCAATAAGCACGTACCTTTGACACATGAGGCGTCAGGACTCTTTTAGTCAAGGAAAACAGGAAAACAGAAGATACACTAGTGACTCGACTGTGGAGGGACTTAAAAATACACCCATTGCAGCGTCTTTATCGAAGGTTAGGGATAATAGTGCTAATGCACATATCTGAACAAGACCAATAACTTTTGTATTAAACTTTGTTTTTTTCCCCTCACTAAACAAAGAACTGTGTTTTCTTGACAGTAGGGGCCTATAAAAATGGCAGAAATTCTAGTTGAAGGACTATCACATAATCGTGTGTGACAATTATTTTCTAGTTACAGTAGGGGCATCATGATTTTGAAGTACAATTATGTATGAATACAAATTTTACCAAACATGTTTCAAGCATATAATTTTACTTAAACACATGGTAAAGTTTGCAATATAATATTTCTCTCCATTTATCAAACTAAATACTATTTAATCTGAATCATTTCTTCATATTTTCAGAACGATAGATATTTCTCCATGTGTGTTCACCTGCTCATGAATGAATAACCATAATCTTTGTCTGTACTCAGATATAGACGAGTGTGCACAAGGTGCTTGCACAGCCAATGAGGATTGTTCTAACACTGCGGGATCTTTCAGTTGCTTTTGTTCTGATGGTTATAAGTTAGACTTGTCTTTTGCCTGTGTTGGTGAGTACAATCCTTTGATTTCTGTCATTCTGTTGAAAATATTTTTTTTCTTATTTGGTATTACTTATGAATGATTATTTTTAAGTATTTTGAAAATGTTAAAAGGGAGTGGGGTGAATTACTCACAAGCACTGAAAATTTTATATATTCATGATTGACTATAATGTGTCTTTTGAAAACTTAAGAAGATTCTTCTAATAATGTACAATTGAGCACAGATATCTTGAAAACGTAAAGATTTGACGAATGTGTTTGACATCTCTAATTAGCACTTGACACACCTTGATAATGATAAAGTATGAGAGACAGAGGGAAAATCAAGGGCAGTAAATGTGACAGTATAAAGGTCAGAAACCAATTCATTGCTATCATGACAAGAGCCCAGTATTGATAAACATGTAGAAGGATGGATAATGCATGTGCCTGTTCGATGTTAAGGCAAGAGAAAGAAAGAGAGTGATAGTTATGAGCTTATGACTTTAAAAAAAAAATGTTGCTCTTACTCGTATGTCAGATCACGAACATGACAATGTATCCAACATTGGTCAGAGCACGCCTCCCACCCTTCTTTTGTAATAATTTCTGGATCCATACCTTTATATTATTCTAACACACACACACACACACACACACACACACACACACACACACACACACACACACACACGCACACACACACACACACACACACACACACACACACACTATTGAATTGCTTGAGGACATTGTATCATGTTAACCATCCATGCCTGCTGTACAATCATGGGTGTGTGTAGGTGTCGTCAGTTCACTTCCCATGAAACCGAGACTGTTGTATATATATATATATATTAGACATAATTATTAGACCAAAATGAGTTTTAAATTTTAACTCAAGATAGTTTAGAATTAAAAAAGCAGTTTAAGTATTCTCTTTGATCAGAAAGCATCCAAGGGCAGGATGTCCAGGCTATGGTGGCACAGAAAGTAGAATATAGTGTGGGCCTATTGTTTTGTTTTATAAGTAAAAGTTTTACGGCGCATGCAACACAATAAGGTCATATTAGTGCCGAAAATAAAAAATGTTACAAGAAAGTAACAAACACATAAAAGAAGGATTAAAGATCAGGATGATAGATGGTTGATAGAAAAGAAGGAGTAAACCACACCAGAGCACCTGCCAATCACTCACATACAGTGTATGCCACAACTTTGTGAAGGTTGTGGTGACTATTATGGTAGGTTGTTGATTTGTTTGTAGTTAATATTTTTACTTTTGTAAATCATTAGTTTAGAAGGAGAACTATGTGTACTTTGATCCTGCCTGCCAGAGCTCACCCAGACTGAGTGGAATATTGCAGCTCAGCAGAGTGATATAATATGTGATGAATGACAAAACCTCCTCGTGGGAGTCCAACTTACCTTTTGTGGGTGCGAGCAATGTTCTTAACCATTACACTGCAGATGCTGATATGTGATTTTTAAAAGTTTAAGGAAACTATAAATATATCACAATTTGAGTGGTCTTTTAGTTTTGCATAAAGAACCTTCATACACCTTTAAATTTTTTTTGTTTTGTTTCTGTTTCTTAGATATTGATGAGTGTGATGAAGGCACAGACAATTGCACCTCAAGACAAGTATGCACCAACACAGATGGCTCTTTCGAATGTCGCTGTCCACAAGGATCTCAGCCCAATGTCCTCAATAACTGTCCAGGTTGGTATTGTAAAGCATAATAATAGTCAACACTCTGCCTAGGAGCATAGGATTCCTCTTTTTTTCCTCGGTCTTGCTATCTACTGACCTACTATCAAGGCATATGTAGCTAATGGTCGCATTGGTGGCCTAGTGGTAAGGTTCTTGGACTCCCAATGGTAAGGACATACAGACCTGCCACACTCATCCTGATTTAATCGGGATATCCTGATTTTTTTCCCCAAATCTCAAGCATCCCGATTTTCCCGATTTCGATCGCCAGCATCCTGATTTTTTTGTCGTTGCGTCTGTTGCGTCTGATTCTAGGTAAAAAAAAAATAAAAAGTTCTGCAATCTCTTTGTGTCCTTAATCATGTTTCTTTGTGTGGTGGCTTCCTGTATAATCTAAATTGTGTCAATGGGGGCATAAAACATGTACAATCACCTACTCCCTCTCTGTTGTGACAGTGAGCTAGTAGATTTGTTGTTACATTTCCGTTACATTGATGAACGCATAAGAAAATGAAGAAATTGCTTATTTTCATTGGGACATAAAAGTATAAAACTTTGAGTAACTGATGGAGGTACTCAAAATATTTTTAAAAAATAAAATGAATTTATTTTATTACCAGACATCAATGAGTGTGCCAGCAATCCATGTGCGCAGAATCAAGTATGCAACAACACTGACCCTGGATTCAGTTGTGACTGCCGGTCTGGCTATGAGCCAGGGCAGGGTGGAGTGCGAGGATGTGTGGGTGAGTATTTCATTTACACTTTGCAGTCTCTGTGATGGAAAAAATACATTTGTGTTTGAAATTTGCCATGCATTTGTCTCTGACAGGGTTGTGATGTGTTTGTGTGTATGCATGTGTGTGTGTGTGTGTATGTGTGTGTGTGTGTGTGTATGAGAGAGAGACCATTGTTGTTTGTTGCATTTGCTGTGGGTTTTTTAAAATTGTTTTTTGTGTGTCTTGTTTTTTTTATTTTGTTTTTTTAGAGAGAATTTAAGGGGGGGAGGGGGGACATGCAATAGTTTAGAAGTTTTAAAATAATTAATTGTGAATTGGAACCCCTGCATTTTGAAAATTCCGGGTATTCTACGCCGCCAGGGTAGAAACTGATAAATTTTGGTATTTTTTGCTATGATAGTAACTCAGGAAGACAGCACATCATAAAAATATAATATACAAGTTGATCAGAAAGGCATCAAGAACAATTGGTAGAGAGCTAAATAACTTTGAATATCTGCACAAGACAAACATCCTTAAAAAAGACTGAGGTAATGCTAAGTGACCTTAGCCACACGCTGATATCAGAATGTCAGTTTTCGGCCCGCAGTAAACGACATATTTCCTAAAAAAGTGAGAACAGACAAATTCATTCGTACCAACTGCAGTAAGGTTACTGAACACACAGTGCTACAAGTGAAACAGAGAGAGAGAGAGAGAGAGAGCTTGTTATGTGTACGTGTGAATGCACCTTACCTTTGTAGAATTCCACTGCCATTGTAAACGACAAAGACAAAATTCTCTCTGTGAGTGAGATCAAATAAAGATTGTCATTGTCATTGTCATATTCAATGTTAATCTTTTTTCTCATTGACCTCTTTTCACAGATATCAACGAATGTGATACAAACCCATGCGGGCAAAACGAAGACTGCACAAACAAACCTGGCTCATTTGACTGTTCCTGTTCTGCTGGCTATGTGAATGGCACTAGTGATGTCTGTGTTGGTAAGAAAACACATTGTTGTCAGTCCCTTTGTGTTAATGTTTCAGCTTGGTAGTCTATTTATACTGCTGTATCAAGTGTAGAAATACTCAAGGAGCAGTTGTTCCACATGTATAGTCCAACTCTGTGCAGATTTAAGCATTTGTTTTCCTATTTATTGAGTGAATGAAAGTTTTCTATTTTGGAATTGATAGAGGATTAGATAAGTGGCTATAGAAGAATGCAACACGCTATCAGTTATTTTTGTACTTTGACACAGTTCAGTGTTAAACATATTTGTGACGCATCATGGTGAAATCGGGTGCTCGTCAAAATAATGAAATGGAAGAAAAGGGCATTTTTCCTTTAGTTTTGCAAATTTTATCAAAATTTTTTTGGCTAAACACCTTTTACGTTGATATGAAAATACGTTTCCATGTGAATTTTACTGAAAAACCTTGTTTAAAGCCTCACAGTATGTAATTTTCAGTTTTCAAAGACTAATAAGCTATTGAAGTTACCAAACGTTGGCGGCCATTTTCTCATTAATTTAACAATTGAAAACAGGCTACCTCATCCTCTTCATTCGCATATATCTTGACGTCTATTCAAGCTAGATGGATATTTTTTTCATTGAAAGCAAGACAAAAGAATAAGCTTTCAGATGATTCCAATAACTCAACTTGCCAAAAAATTGACGAGAGCCTGATTCCACCACGTTTTGACACATTTGGCAGATATTTATATGCAGAAACATATTGGACTGTGTGCAAAAAATAAAACAAAAAGCTCATCTTGAAGTTTGCTGAAGTATCTGATGTTGAATTTGACTGTGTGAGGTTGTTGACTTTACTGCCACATAGTGATCAGAATATATAATTCCTGTATAATTGATTTGAAAGCCATTGACTTGAAAAAATATCCATATACACACATTCTCAATGACACATGTTCACACAGTTTCACCTGTATTATTTTGTGTAAGTTTGCTATGTTTTCTTTAAATAAAGCTGTCAAAAATGGATGTTACTATGGTGCCAAAGTTCATGCAATAACATGGTTTAACTTTTTATCATTGAAGAGTTGCACGGTTAACATATTGCAACATACATTTTCTCCTTGTTTCAATTAAGAGGGAATGCTGAGGGTAATAATGAAAAAAACTGCTTTTTTCTGTGAACAGATATAGATGAATGTGGAAGTAACCCATGCGGGGTGAATCAGGTATGCACAAACTCTCCAGGGTCTTACTCCTGCCCATGTGAAACTGGCTTTGTCAGCGATACATTTGGTGGTTGTATAGGTAAGTAAAGCTTTTTTTGGTCTTTTTTCTTTCTTTTCATGTCATTAATTGCTAGAAGACTGAACACCAGGGATTTACTTAGTATGTCAACTATAAGAAGTTGCCAAATTTTTTTTCTCAGTTATTTCCTCAATGCATTTTGTTGCAGAAATGATGTTACCTTTGTGGCCCTTCATGCTGGCATTTTTCTCCCTTTCACGTTGCTCTTAAGTCCTTTCTTTTGGAAAAGTAAGGGCGTAGGGGGGTTACACATGAAACAATTGAGTTTAGAAGCATGAAGGAGCTAGAGTTATTGCTGTTAAGACAATCTGTCAACTTTGTTATGGGTCATTGAAACAAACAAATTTTTTTCTTATAGAAATAAATCTTTGATTGAGAGTGATGTATTTATAAATTGAGAATGAGGTAACTTCAAATTTATGTTACTATAAATTCAGAGTGATGTAACTATAAATTAAGAGCGATATAAGGTGATGTAACTCTAAATTGATGTTACTGAACATTGTGATGTTACAGTAAATTTAGATTAAATATAACTAAAAATTGTGAGAATGATGTGACTTTAATTTGAGAGTGGTGTAATAATACGTTGAAATTGATGTAACCATAAGCTGAGAGTTGTGTAACTAAAATTATTAGGGTAATGTAACTAGGCCTATAAAATGGGTGATGCAACTATACATTTTGAGAATTGTGTAGCAATACAGTTTTCAGCTTACATGGAATGATGAAAGAGAGAGAAACAATAGAGAACAAAAGACTATTGTAAATGCATGCAGAGAGTTATGACCTGACTAGTAAGGACATTTATAGATATTGGTAATGCCTAATTTGGTTAGGATTAGACCATCTGTATCAAAAAAAGTAAAATTTGGAGACAATCTGTGAAAGCCTAATTGTTTTTTATTAAGTGTATAAAAGGAATACACTTGAATCTTATGAAATGTTTCCTTTTACTCACTGAGCCGTGTTGCCATTTTGTAGCTCTGATAACCTTTCTACTGTTTCAATGTTCATTCACTATGATTCTAAGAACTTTTCATCTGCACTTGGGCTTCAATCGTCAGTAGGCTTCAATGCTATATTTTTAGAAAGTGTAACTAAATTTGAATATGATGGAAATGTTTTCTCTTCAAACAGACACAAATGAATGTGATGGAAACCCATGCCTTGTGAATGAAGAGTGTCGCAACACCGTGGGCTCTTTCGATTGTTTCTGCGTGACTGGCTTTAGGCGCAATCCAACTATTTGTGAAGGTAAAGCTCCTACATAAATATATATAGAGAGGAGTATTCTTGAATGCAGTGTCTGTATCAGTTTTTGTGTCTCAAAAGTTGGCCAATGAATATTGAGACTCCTGGTTTCATGTAGAAATTAGAAGTGCTCACAATGTTTACCAGCAGCTGCACAATATCTTGCCAAAATAGCAATAATAATGATAATGATGAGAAAGAGATTGCTTTTACATAGTGCTTTCCTTTGTCCCCTGACGGCTTATCGATGGAATTTTACAATTTTGGGTGCCAGGTTCTGGCTGACTTTCTCCTATCTTTTTTTCCAGCTCAGTTTTCTTCACAGGCAATTATCCAGAGGAGTGGACCAAGTCTATGATATCTAGTTTGCACAAAAAAGGAAACGTAAATGATGGAAATGATTATAGGGGCATTAGTTTACTGAATGTTCTTGGTAAATTGTTCTCATTCATATTGAATAAAAGACTGTAGAGACCCCTGTAGAAGACTCCTAAACATTGATAACTTCCAAAATGAAAGATACTCCTAACAATTATTTTAATCAGGAGTTAAGCTAGTATACTTGACCTCAAATTTCTGAACCTGCATTTTTAGCTGACATTGCTAGGATCACAGAATATATTATTTTCATGATTCATAAAGTGTTTAATAACTTGAATTGGAAATGAATCTTCTGTATGTGTAATTTGTGTGTTTAACTTGTTTTTACTTTATCATATATGCAAGTATATATCATAAACTTACATTACTTCCTTCCTCTTTTTATTTATGTAACTTTTGTGAAAAAAATTGATTTAGATTTATATGGAAATTATGATACTGCGGTGTTGCCCAAATCAATTAATATCTCTGTATCCTTAGTATATCACACTAAGAATGAAAGGATTCTAACTCTTTGTTGCAAAGTTTTGAGAAAATGTAACTCCCTTCTCACTATATGTGGAGTAACAACCCAGTCTTTCTAAGGATGCATCGAATATTGCTGTTGAAGGAATATTAACTCAACTAAGCAACTACCCCATTCCTGATTTTCTTTTCTGACATCTTTTTTGAAAATATTCAGACAAATTGATGACTACGGATGCCATTTTCACTTACCTTTTAAAACTTTTCCCTGTGACTTGCATCACGTTTGTTTGCTTTACTAAAGATATAAAGATGGAAGCCAATGTTTAAGATTTTTTTCCTCTTTTTGAGATTAGTTGGACATGTTCTTTTTGTGTAGTCTGTTTTTAATTAATAGCCAGGAAGTATCATTTTATATTGTGGTGAAAGAACTATCATGATTCTTATGACTGTGTCAGAACATTCAAAACATACCAAACAGGCACTCTTATCATCAAATGATTATGTTAACCCTAGCAATTGTTTGTCTGATTTTAGACGTAAAGATTACTTTTCAAAATAATAAGATTGGGTATACAAGGGAACATCTACAGTACAAGTTGACTAAAGATTGCTTTAGTGAAAAGTGAAAACAGAACACTATACACACAAATTAGGCAAAATCTTGTAAAGTAGGTCACAGGTACGGCCCAGTCTAGGTGAGGAAGACTGTTTGGTAGTGAAAGAGTTAAGTCGAGCTGCTGCATTTATTTGCTTTTTTTACACTTGAATGTCAGTTCATTCCTGGACTTCTTTTGGGGAGTTTTAGGGGGGTTTATTGGATAGGTGTTTTTTGTTTAGTAATATTTTTTTTTCAATGTTTTTTGGCAGGGAAGGTGCAGGAGGGGGTAGGGCAGTTTTAAAAAAGGCTGTTTATTGTTTTATGGTGAAGAACTTCTCAAAGGTTATTTCCAACTATACTCTCATTACTGAGATGATTTTATAGTTGTCTTAGTATTCAAGTCAAGTGTAGTTTACTCTTTTTCTAGAGCATTTTGTTTTACTATGAGGTGTTATTATCACATGATATGAAATTGGAGGGGAGGTGGGGGGGGGGGATTGCAATTTACACATGATGTTGGTTTGTTAATAATATTGGAAAATTTGTTTCTTTCTATTCAGACATAGATGAGTGTGCAACAAACCCTTGCCAGGTGAATCAGGCGTGTAGAAACACTGTGGGCTCTTTCAACTGTCCATGTGTATCTGGTTTTATCTTGAATGGGACTGTTTGTGCAGGTAATGCAAAAAATGATGGGATTTACCATATCTTACTACTCTTTCTATTTGCAATTGTAATTTGCTTCAAGTCAGTTTATCCTTGAAGTGATCTTGACTTACGATAAGTATGATTCCTTTAACTGTATAATATTCTCAAAGTATGAAGGAGAGCTGCAGACAATGTTGTAGTGCCGTTTGTTCCAATTTACTATAGGCCTATTCCTTGAGGTAAGGAATGCATTTCTGAGCAAATTTGTTGTTGACTTTGTACTTGTTGCCTTGACTCATTGACGACGTGCTGGGAGACCTGGCTGGCGAGGTCAGCAAACTCTGAAGACACGCCTGACCTACTTTTTATGTAAACAAGAAACAGAGAGCTGCTGGATGCTCCTTTCACAACCAATGAATAGGGATTATTGATTCAGGAGACAACAATGCTCCTGGAAATGTCACTATTCTTATAGATAATATCACTTTGTGTTACTTGTTTGAAACCCATTCTAATTGACTGCAATCAATTCTGAGATCCATGTGCTTAGCTAAAAAAAAAAAAGAAGTTTTTTTTCATGTTTACATATAATTTTTTTTTCCACATAAAACATAGTTTTTTCAAAGTTTTTGTAAAAATAAACACATTTTATGTAAGTATACATGATGATCTTACTTTGTGCCAAATTTTATACCTGTCCAGTTGGTAGGTTTATCTCACTGATTTTTTAAAAATAGGTAAGAATCGTACGTTTCCAGGGAAATTCTTGGTGAAAAATTTGCGTCTTCAATGAGTTAATGCAGAGTATGCTTTATAATATGTATGGTTTTTACCGTGATATGCCACTTGTGTTGTCGAAGTCATGCTTTGCTTTGCCAGTGTTGTGCAGAAGAGACTTTTGAAAATATAAGGGAATCTCAAAGAATTCGCACTTAAGGTCTTTTTTTTTTTGCATTTTTGCACTTTGAGCCTTTTTCTATACATTTTTCCAGGATCAGGATGGTCTGGAACCTAGCTGTTTCCTTTTGATGATAGCTGTTAGCTGACATACAAAAAAAGAAATACAGTTTCTTTTCTGTTAGATCTGTCTTAATTACCATTATTTCATATTGTTACCCAGATGTGAACGAATGTGATAAGAACCCATGCCAAGTCAACGAGAGATGTGTTAACAATGATGGATCATATACATGCCCCTGTAGAGCTGGCTACCAGAAAGATGCCAATGACACATGTATAGGTGAGTTAAAGCCATTTCAGCCCCAAAATGTACCATTAAGTTGACTTGGGTTTTTTTGCTCAATTTCTCAAAGTATTCCATTCAAAGATTTAAAATAATAAGTTTTGGGAATCATTATCAGTTGCATAGTAACAGAAATGGCAATTTCGAGTGAAACCGGACCATTTTCAAAAGCTAAAAACTCAGAAACCAGTCAAGCTATCTATGAACTAAATACGTATGTGAGGCAGCCTGGTGAAAGCAGGCGCTCGTCAAAATAATAAAAGTAAAAAAACTGGCATTTTTTCTCAGGATTGGGATTTTTTTAATGGAATTTCGGTTTTTTGGCTCAACACCTTTCATGTCCATTAAAGAACACATTTCTGTGTGAATTTTGCTAAAAAAAAACCCAAACATTTGTTAACTCATTTGCTACGTATTATTTTCGGCTTGTGGAAGAATTTTTTGCGTGAAGGTGAAATGAGATGATGACTAGTGCGCAGTTCAAAGGTCTTTGGGGCCACAAATTCAAATAAATATTAACATATTATGCACCGAAATATTCTGTATGATTTGTAGAATACGTCTGTAATGTTTATTTGTGTATTTTTCGACTTTGGTCATGTAAGAGGCAATTATGCAACACAATTTTTCTTGGATGCGGATACAATGTTATATTTTGTTGTGTAAAAGTAGTAAGACTGGTGTCTGGGCTATAATTTGAGCATCGCGATAAAACAAAGTCACATAAACTTCGAGATCGTGTTTCAAAAACTGAATCAAAACTTCCCATTTTTGGTGGAAACGTTTGACCCGCAAGTTAACATTATATTATGACCTTTATTTGAACGTGGATATGTGGATTGGAATAGAATCTGAGCTAAAATTTAAAATCGGTTCTCGAGCCGCCAGGGGCGGCTTAGCTTACTACTGACGGCACTTTGGCCGTGCCGCCACCCCCCCCACGGCTCGGTGTAGCGAATGAGTTAAAGGCATAAAGGATGTAACTTTTCAGTTTTCACGGACTCTCCAGCTTAGGAAATAATTCAACTTTAGCTGCCATTTTCTTGCTAATTTTACTTCTGAAACCAGGCGACCCCCCACCTCCTTCAATTGAAATAGCTTGACTTGTATTCATGATAAATGGATATTATAAAATTATAAAAAAATCAAAAGCAAGGAAAATGGACAGGCTTTAAGATGTACCAATAACTCCATATGCCCAAAAATTGACGAGCGCCTGATTCCACCACTTCGTGACACATATTTGTAATCTGCGTACAAATCTTAATTTAAAAAGTGACGCTAGTTTTTATTGAATTTGTGAATATTAATAATTTTATGTCTTTTAAGAGACTTGCATATTGGAAGTGTCTACGTTCTCTAACATTAGAGAATGTATACAAGCTGTCTACATTCTCTAACGAATAAAAAAAGTAACAATATTAAGCCTGTAGGGCCCTATTTGAACTTCCGGATAAGGCTAGGCTACTTTTCAATCATCCTTTTTTTTCAAATTGATTTATATTATGATTTGTCGTTAGATAAATATCAAATAGGTTTACCAGTTCACTCATTGGGTTATATTGGGTTATTTCATGCTCTAGATCTAGGCCTATCGTAGACCTAGCATTGGTCTATGACTGACTTGACCTTGACCCAAGTGATTTGATTTCATGACAGTCATATAATATCTCATCACACACCAAATCGGCAATGTTTTTCCACAGGAGTGAATTTCGTATCATTTATGGTCTCCCACGTTGTGTCGCATTGGCCTACCTTGGCTTTGGGGTGGGAATACGAAACCACATGTAAACTGCAAGCTATCTTCTAAATACTAATTACAGAAGGCCTGATCTTCATGACTTATTCAAAGCTTTGGGGGGGGGGGGGGGGGTCAAAGTGCACCTTCCTTGGGTGAAAAGTGTAGGCCTACAACATAGTATTATTAAAAGAGGGGGGGGGGGTGGTATCATCTCAATGGAATGATAGAATGTGTTGGTTCCTTGTAAGGGGTTTAACGTCGCTGTAAAAGCAAGATGCGATACTGAGACAGCTTTACTTTCGCGGGCATTTTAATTTTGCAAAAGTAAACTTAATAGCTTGCTAAAATAAAGTGTAAGCATTGTGGAAGCAGCAATGTTGACTCGTTTCCATGTTAGATAGAGTGAGCGAGCTATTTTTAGGTTCTCTACTAATACTAGAGAATGTAGACAGCTTGTATATGTCGTCTAACGTTAGAGAACGTAGACGCTACCCTTGCATATTAGCAAATGACAAAAATAGTCAAAGTAGCAAAGTAAAAAAGAAATTAATGTTATAATAAAAATTTCAAAAATTTCAAAAAAATGTTTTAAAAATAGCGTAATTTTTAAAGGAATTGTACAGTGCACTTACCCTCCAAATTTCTTGTCTTTATCTTGACTGGCTTTTGAGTTTTTAGCTTTTAAAGCCAAGAATTTAACATTTCAGGAAAGGAGCTTAAACATTTCAAATTGCTTTAAAACATTGTTTTGGCTCACAATGTTACAAACTTTATAGAGCTATTTGTTTGAAGTAGGACTTTTGGAGTATTCCCATTTTTATGGGATTAAGTTTCTTGTTGTTTTCAAATCCCTTTAGCTGCGAGCATTTCACTCTTGGCAGCCCCAAAAAAGTGGAAAGTTTCTTAAAACCCCAAAAAACATTGTCTGGGCCCAAACTGAACCCCAACACCCATGTATGGCCCCAAGTGTACTTGTCTGTGGTCGACAGAAAGACAACCGAAGAGGAATTAGTTACAGCAGTCGTGTGTTTACCTAGTTATAAGAATACATACATACGCTATACCACCAGACTATATATACACAGAGAAAGTTTACAATTGAGCAGAATAATGTGTGTATACACTGAAACGAAACGATAACTTCAAATGTTGTTCCTTATGCCAGTGATAGCATGGATAACTTCTTTCAGTGATAATATAAGCCTGTGGCAAGGTATCCCACTCCATGAAGAATGCATGTTGCAACTGATACACCATTTTTATGTCACCATAAGTGTTTATTCACCCTTTGACATAACTCATTCCAATGGTGGATTCTATTAGAGATGTGTTTGGTGATGCTCGCTTATAAGCATTAGAAAGCTTTTTGATTTTTTAAACTCTTCCTTTTATCCCTTGCAAGAACTTACTTTATGATTCTGCAAACCTTGGATAAACCTGCCATGCTGTGTATGATTTGGTCATGAAACCATACATGGTGTATTGCTTTTAATACAAGTGAAACTGAATTCTAATGCCAACTGTTGTTCCATGCAGACAAGAATGAATGTGATGAGAACCCGTGCGGGGCAAACCAGGATTGTAAAAATACAGAAGGATCTTTCAACTGTCCCTGTTCATCTGGATTCACCTTAAATGGTACAGAATGTGAAGGTAAGTCATGTGCTTGTTGGTCTGGGGGGTTTTTTCCCCGTCTGTTCTGTTTGAATTTTTTCTCAGTCTTTATTGGCGGTTTATCTTTTGAACATACTTGTCTTTTTGAATGAAAAGTAGCGGATGATTGGCAGGTGCTCTGTGTGGTCTACTTCGTCTTTCCTATCAAACATCTATTATCTTTTTCTTTCTTCCTTCTTTTTGTGTTTGTTACTAACCTAACTGTGTTGCAAGTGCTATAAAACACTTACGAAACCTAACAATGAGTCACATAGTCCATATTTTGACTGGTCTTACATTGTCAAGCAGCATTAAGTTTATCAATAAATATTGTGGAAAAGTAAATGGTAAAGATTTGTGGCTCCTGCCATCTATGTTTTCATTAAAAATGACCTTCTTCTCTATTTTGCCGTGATGAGTTTCAATTTGTGGCTGCTCAAGACATGAACCCTTTCCTTAGACCAACACACTTATACTTATAGTTATTTAAGTTTCTAGATGTGTCAGGGAAAATTTGTTTTCTTATGATGCTGAATAATATATTACTTGACTTTAACTCTTTGCTATGATTGTAACGATGGAAGCATCAATTAACATGCTGTTCTCTGCCAGAGTGAAATGGGAGGGTCAATTCACGACAAATCTCATTTTACATCAACACATAATTTAATATGCATTTTTTTAAAGGGAGGGGGTGGGGATGGGGGAGGGGTGTTAAGAAGTGGAAATAAGTAATGAAAAGATGAAACACACTGTTCATTTCCCTGTAAAATACTCAATTATTTTTTTTAGACTCTGAAGATGATTACAGTCAAGAGCTAGATCAAAATTGATCTGACAGTTTTGATAGTGACAGCACGAGTCTTTAGAGAGAAATTGTTTATTTTCTCACCCCACAAATCACAGATACTTAAATACAACAATGCCATAAATGCATTTGACACTTTATTACCTTTAAAATGACTCCGAAATGTGTATTGTGTTTGTTTAGTTTTAGTAGAGGTTTTACGGTGCTCGCAACTTCATTGTGGAAAAAATGTTCGCATTTTTTGTCTAGAAAATGCCACTCCTCAAAACCTGGGTCCTTTCTAAAATTAATTCCAGCGAAAAAAATTATGATGGCAAACAAACAGGACAGGGTGTTGGAGAAAATCAGAAAGCAAAATATGAAGAATTTCTTCAACAGTGTTCAGAGGCATTGAAGAGCAGCTGCTTCAGCTGAGTTAGTATATCCTTGAAGTAGAGGATGTCTTTTCTGCATATCGTGTAACAGATTTATTTGTCCAGAATCAAAACACACAATTCAGAGAAGCCAAGTGTAGATGCAAAAATAAAGGAGGGTTAAAATTATTGCTATTCTCAAAGACATTGGATTTGGGAACAAAATCTAGATAAGAGAAAGATCCATTATTATTTAGTCTATTGAAACATTTTGAATAGAGGCCTACCTTTACAGAGAAATTAATAGAAATGTTTGTCTTTCCTTTTCCTTTCATTTTAATGTATGGAATGCTGAACTAAATTTTACTTGCAAAAATTTTTAAGTAGGTTAGTAACCAACATTGAACTTTGGAAATCAAATCTCACTGCACTTTTTGTAGGTATGAATCTGTCATCCTTCTATTTTAATATTATTGACTACTTTTATTAATTCAAAAGATAAGCTAAAATGTATCAAGAATTGTATGAGATTTTAATCATCGACACTTGTCAATGACATTGGTATTATTGTAAAGCTTGTTCAATTTTCTTGCCAAAGGAAAAAAACACCCTTCTGTCTTGATTAAAAGTCAAAATATTTGCAATTCAAGGAAATGGGTGTCACCTGGTGTCAGAGAAAGAATTAGTGAGAAAATGATTGTGAAAGTTTTTCGACTCCCAAAGCTTGAAAGGCAACTGCAAATTTACATTTTTTTACCTTATGTCAACGTCTTTCAGTAAAATCCTTCCAGAAATGTGTTTTATAAAGGGCAAACCATTTTTATTTTTTACTTTTCTTTGAATGTTAATAAATATTTCTGTGTATGATTACTTTCATGAAAAGTCTCTTTTTAAATTTGTACTTAGATGTGGATGAGTGTGAGATTCCCACTGCTTGCGATCTCAATGAGAAGTGTGTCAATGAATTGGGATCCTTCTCATGCCCATGTAAAGATGGATACCAGTTCAACGTCAGTATAGACTTGTGTTCAGGTGAGTACAAACTTTTTAGAACATTTTCAAAAGGCCCATATATTTGGAAAATGCACTGTGATAGATCAGCCCAGAAAGATTGATGTGATCAGCCATCTCTGCACACACCACAGCCCACAGTGATATAAAATCAAGGTCATCTGTGCCAGCGAAGGATGAACCTTACCACACATACAAGTACACAGTTTTGTACTGCTTACTTGAATAGGATCATGGTCATACACATGCTCTTGCACACACACACACACAAACTCACACACACACACACACACACACACACACACACACACACACACACACACACATACACACACACACATACACAAACACATACACACACACACACACACACACAATCACTCGTGCACACACTTTCAAACATCAAACAGATGCAAACACACAAACACACACACACACGTAAACACATAGGCTACTCACAAATGCACTCACACCTGCACACCAACATCTGTGGTGTAGTGGTGAGGCGCTTCGACATCACACACAAGACGCTTTTTAAAAATGTTTCAATGTGGGAAAAAAACATTTTGTGTCAGATGCAATGCCGACCTTGCATTTTTATTAAGCACTAAGTTGTGTCTGTTGGGACGTTGTATCCCTTTAAGCCCAGTGGGCCAATGACACACACACACACACACACACACACACACACACACACACACACACACACACTCAAAAACACAAACACACACACCAGGGTATGCTGGCCCTGAATCCCTGAATGTCATGTGACCTACTGTGGCGACCTAGAAAATTCACGTGTTTGGTGTGGGAGGATTGGGACTCTCTACCTTAGTAGAACCTTCCTACATAGAACATGTGAGGCAGCCTGGTGGAATCAGGCTCTCACCAAAATACACAGGTTTGTGAATGTTTATCAGATTTGTGTTTTTTGGCTCAGTACCTTTCATGCCCATTAAAGAACTCATTTCTGTGTGGACTTTTCTGAAAAATGTGGATTAAAGGCACAAAATATGTAAATTTTAAGTTACCACGGACACTTAAGCTAAGGAAATAATTAATCTTTGGCGGATATTTTCTCCCTAATTTTACTTCTGAAAACAGATGACCCCCACCTCCTTCATTCGCAAATATCTCAACTTGTATTCAAGATAAATGGATATTTGTTTCATCCAAATAAAGACGAGTGAACAAGTTTTATGATGATACCAATACCTCTACGTGCCCAAAAATTGACGAGAGTCTGATTCCACAACGCTGCCTTACAAATGTCTCCCCTTCAATCGGTAATAAGTGCGATAGAATTTTACAAGAATGTAGGCCTATGCACTGCTTATGAGCTATTAACAGCCCGAACACACTTTATTAAAGCGATTTCTGTAGAGCAACTGGTTTTTACCTATGTGACCGTGTTCTTAATTCTTTGTAGAGACCCTTGCCTTTAGGCAGCCACATTCCAATTTCCAAGGTAGGCCTACTGTAGTATAGTTTTATACTGACTAAAGTATAATCTACTGTAGTATAGTTTTATACTGACTAAAGTATAATCTACTGTAGTATAGTTTTATACTGACTAGAGTATAATCTACTGTAGTAGAGTTTTATACTGACTAAAGTATAATCTACTGTAGTATAGTTTTATACTGACTAGAGTATAATCTACTGTAGTAGAGTTTTATACTGACTAGAGTATAATCTACTGTAGTATAGTTTTATACTGACTAAAGTATAATCTACTGTTGTAGAGTTTTATACTGACTAGAGTATAATCTACTGTAGTAGAGTTTTATACTGACTAGAGTATAATCAGCTTCGAAAGAAATCAATTTGAATTTTGCCCTTTTGACCACCGGAAGCCTACTCTTGTTGATTTTTGTACCACCAAGTGATCTTTGAAGTACACAACTTGCACATAGATCCAGTCCCTCCGATATTTTTCGCCCAGCCTAATCCGAGAAGGCTAGGTGTTTGATCTTACCTACCCTAAGATGAGAAGTGAGGCTGAAAGACAATAGTGAGAAAGAGCCAGTACTTACTTACTTACTACCCATCACCCCACCTGGCGTTTAGGGCAGCAACAAAGGATCTCCAGCTCTGTCTGTTTTGGGCCATCTTGGTCAGCGTTCCCCACGAATGATTTCAGGACTCTATTTCAGGACTCTATTTCAGGACTCTATTTCAGGACTCTACTGTCTGTGCGTGTCCAGGTTACTTTTGGTCTGCACTTTTGCGACGTCCTTCGGGTGTCCAGTGGAGGGCAGTCTTCACAATAGAGTCTGGTTCTTGTCTCAGAACATGTACAATCCATCTCCACCTTCTCCTTTTTATTATGGTGGAAAGAGCCAGTGGGAACAGTAAAAGAGTCAGGAGTAAAGGAAAGAGGAGCACAGAGGGGGTAGGGGAAGAGGGGAGGGATGGGGGAATGGGAGCGGTTATAAAGTGAAGACGAAAGATAGACAGAAAACGAGACAACAGAACAGGAAAGGACTTGAATGGAGAAAATGTCAGAAGAAAATGTTACGTTGCTGTCTCTAGTATATTTCAGCACTGACTAGAGAATTTTATTTTTGATAGGAACTACTTTGAAATTATGCCCGGGTGGCGGCCGGTTGGGTACTACCAAGGGATATTTCATGTGCTTGACTTGTACACAGGACCTCCGAGATTGTTCGCCCTTATCCAGACCTTTTCAATTAGAGGCGAACACTGCACCTCTAGACCACGAGAGCCTCTAGAGTGATTGAAACTTATCAGCAGCGACTTTCTTATAGATAAGGGAGTAGTGACTTACCTTTTATTGATGGAAAGGGCGTGATTTATAAATTAACCCTATCCTTACGTCGTGTTTTACTATCGTATCCATATGACGTGGGGAACTCTGTGTCACCACTTTCCAAAGAGGAAATTTTACTCGTTAATCCGATCCGTACGCTTTGCGTAGCAGTCTGTCAAAAGGATTTTTTGAGAAATACAGAAAGTTTCAAAGCGATCTTCATACTAGAAGTATTCTAAAGTGTGAAGAATACAACCCTGGGGGTACAAAATGACCCCAGGGCGTACGGATAGGGTTAAATGACAACTTTAAACTCAAGGCAAACAGATTACTAATGAGGACTGTGCCTACGAGTACCAAACTCCACGTTGTTTTGTCTGGAGAACATCAATAGTTATGTCCAGTTGTACAGATGTTGTACAGATGTTGTACAGATGTTGTACAGATGTTGTACAGATGTTGTACAGTTGTACAGATGTTGTACAGTTATACAGATGCTGTACAGATACTGTACAGATATTGCACAGATGTTGTACAGTTGTACAGATGTTGTACAGTTGTACAGATGTTGTACAGTTGTACATAAGTTGTACAGATGTTGTGCAGTTGTACAGTAGTACAGATGTTGTACAGATGGTGTACAGATGTTGTACAGTTGTACAGTTGTACAGCTGTT